GTATTGAATGGAGCACTGGGTGTTATATGAAAACAATGAATCATGGAACACTACATCAAAAACTAATGATGTATGGTGATTAACATAACATAATAAAATAAAATTAAAAAAGAAGAAGGGTCCTACTTCTGAAACCCCCAGCCCCCACACACAGCTCCTCCAAAAGAAGCGAAGTAAGCAGATCCAGAGAGGCAGTCTTACTTCCAAATATCCCCCTCTCAGCAACCCGACCTAACTGGCATTGCATTCTTAAAGTAATGAATTCCTCTTGCTCTTCCAGAACGTGATGGTTTCCCTTGGGAGGACACCTCCAATTCCATTTAAAGAGATCTGGAAAGGCAGAGATGCCTTTCCTTTTCTCAGGAGTCAGTGGCCCCAATTTTGGCCAGTCCACCATCCCAGGGCTCCACCTCGCTGGCCTCCACTAGAGGTCAAAACGGGAGGTGGGGAGCCTGGATCTTCCTCAGAGCAAAGGTAGATTCTAGGCCTCGTCTCCCCACCCCAAAGGGCATTCTCCGCAGCTGCCACAAAAGGCCCCGGGGAGGCCTTTCTGGAGCGGGAAGGCCCTGGGAGTGAAACCCCCATGAAGGGTCTACCCCGAAGCTCGGTCCGCGACGCCCCTAGGCTGGACCTGCGGAAGGCCTTGGGGAGGTCGCAGGAGCAGTGTTGGAGGCCCCGACGTCGCCCGCCGCCGCCCACAGCCCCAGCCGGTGCGGTCTGGCCGGCGGGCCCGGTGCCCGCAGCCACCGCGACGTACTCACAGCACACACAGGCAGTACACGCCCGGGACGCTCTCGCTGTCTCTCAGCAAATAGCTGCCATCCAGCCCCGTGGCCAGCAGAAGCTTCTCGCCCGTCTCCCGGCTGATTTTGCCGTGGTACACAGCCACCGCGTCCATGGCCTGGTGGACTCGTGGGCCGCTGAGGCGTGGGCCGGTGGAAGTCAGATGCCCCTGCTGCGGCAACCGGGCCCCAAGTCAGCCACCTGACTCCCAGTTCAGCCAGATGTGCAGAAAAAGAGAGAGGAGCGCCCAAACAACAGGATGTTGTCTATCTGCCTTCAAACCTCCTTCTCACACTTCAATTAAAACCAGCTCAGCAATTTAGAAGCTTGGTTATTGCCACAAGGTTCAATCCCCCTCCCTGCCCCCACCCTCCGCACCCCACCCCCAACACAGGGTTCAGAGGGGGAGGGGAGGCCAACTGGAAGAAGGTCCTTGCAAGATCTCGGTTGTACTACCCAAGGCCGACCCGGGCCCACAGGCAGGACTGCTTGCTAAGGCTTCCGTTCTTGCAGGTTTCCCAGGGGCCACCAGGGATGACTTAGCTTAATTAGTCCCCAGACGGGTTGATGATAGAGGCAAGGTGTACATGGCCTTCATGTGGGGCAGAAACATGCTGACAGAGAATGAAAGAACCAGAAGCTCTGAGACCAAAACACAGAAACTACCAGTACTATCAGTGGGCAGGCACTCCTGAGCACAACCAGGAGGCTCCGACACAATCAGAAAAGTCCGTGAGAAACCAACACGGGCCAAGTCTCCTTTGCTACTCTTCCTAGTCATCTTGAGCAATCCTGATCCTGAGCAAATACTGATTTTTCCTACTTTCTTGGCCAAGATTCTGGAGTGCTGATTGAGGAACAAAAATTCAATCTATGTCTGGGACACCTGGGTGGCTCAGTCGGTTAGCGTCTGCCTTCCGCTAGGGTCCTGATCCCAGAGTGCCAGGATCAAGCCCTGCATCAGGCTCCTGCTCATGCTAGCTCTCACTTGCTCTCTCTCTCTCAAATAAATAAATAAAACCTTTAAAAAAAATCCATCTATGTCCAAAGATGTTCCAGATTTTTTTTTGTTTGTTTGATAAGCCTTAGTTGAGAGAATGAATCATTTCATTGGTGCTCTGTCTTTATGTGGACTTGTATACACCCTTTGATGTACAGGTCCCACCTATCTGCATTTGGGGCATAAAACTTGTTTTAAATCATATCGCAAGTGTTGATAATTTTAGCCTCTGTTGTTAATAGAGCATGTTTTTTCTTCAGTTGATGCTAAACTATCATTAATTTTTAAAGCCTTTCAACTTTCATTGCCTACTCTGAAATAAAGCATTGCTTCTATTTTAAAATACGCTGCTAAGTAATATTCCCCTTAAACTTCCTCCTTTTTACTGGAATAAGACTTTGTTTAATGCTTGAAGCTGGATGGTCTTCTACATTGTTCCTTTCGATTATGTTAAATACTTGTAAAACAGGATTTTACATAACTGAAGTCATGTGTCTGTTGTATCTCTTCCACAAATTCAGCACCTAGTTCTGCGAGAGCACGGCAAGGCTGGGAGAACAATTTCTAAATCCCCACATGCCCAGAGCTGCCTTGCACCAAAGCCAGATACGTGTTTGCCACCCGCTGGGGATGAGAACAGTCCTCTCAGATTTCAATGGCAGCTAGTAGTGACTCACCTTTTTTTTTTTTTTTAAGTAAACTCTACCCCCGACACGGGGCTCAAACTCAGGACCCAAGATCAAGAGTCACATGGTCTACCGACTGAGCCCGCCAGGTGCCCCGTGACTCTCCTTGATTGAAGCATGCCCAGCCCTAGACTCTATCAACCTTAGTAGATGAAGCGTAAACATAAGCCTCTTACAACACCGAGAATAAACAAAGAAAATAAAACAGCGTTCAAGAGGATTTTCAGGGATAGCTCTGGGGAATTGAGCCAAGATTGTCTCATCATCTTTCTACCTCACTTGTTTATGGTCAAGTCCACCTCTCACCTTTCCTCATGCTTTGGGTCAAGGAAAAAATCGATCTAATAAGTGAACGCATACGCCAATGTTAAGGACTCGAGAAGTCAGTCCGCCCTGAACTCTCTATATTTTGAGCTGGCAAATGATTAGCCCAGAGAAGTTCATCACAATGGTGGAATTTCAGACAAGAAAGGGGAAGATAGGGTAGGGGGTCCAGGCCCTCATTTACACCCTATAGACAATAGCCCACCTGTGAGGTGAACTGTGAGAACAGTGTGTCATGTAGGTAAAAATGAAACCTAAGTTTTGTTTGGTTTTATGGTTGTTGGGTTTTTTTGGTTTTTGTTTTGTTTTGTTTTTTTGTCTCTGAACAACCCTGAACAAATCATCCACAAACTTAGAAACGGAGCAACCTGGATCTGACAGCAAAAGTGTACCATGCATTCTTCTTTTCAGTCTCTGTTTGGTTCTGTGTTGCTAAAATAGCACACCTGTCAAAGCAGCCAGGTACAATGGGGTTCAGCACAACTAACTCGTATGAAAAAAGAACAGATCAATTATAAGGTAACAGTCCAACTCTCACACCCAGCATGTCATTGTCATCTCACAAGCAAGCTGACAGCTGGGCCAGCCCACTATTGCAGTGTTGATGAAAAATACCGACGTCTTCACTCTAGGGCTACACCAGTACTGAACCTGACTTTTTAGCAAATTCAGAACTTTGTGCCGAGCTTGAAGTGTAGAGAAAGAAGATTCAAAATGGCTCTCTTCCTTCTCTCTCTTGCCATACGCACAAGAGAGGAAAGGGGAAAAACAAGAGAGGGGAGCAATGGACATAGTGGAGGCCCCAGCAGAGAAAGAGTTAAGAAGAATGGGCCCCCAATACAGGTATAATCCACTCAGAAGCAGAATTATCTGATGAATCCCTTATTGCCTATCTCCTGCACTAGAACGTAGGGTCCTTGATGGCAGGAATTAGTGTACTTTATTCACCACCACTGTATCCTCCATGTGGCACATTTTATTTTTTTATTTTTTTATCTGTTTTTATTTTTTATTTTTAATTAAACTCTATGCCCAACATGGGGCTTGAACTCCAAACCCTGAGATCAAGAGTCGCACACTCTACAGACTGAGCCAGCCAGGCACCCCCATCTAGCACATTTTAGATGCTTAAATATATTTGTTGAGTGAGTGAATGAATGAAATTAGTGCTCTAAAGAAAATAAGAGAAAAAAATGCATGTGTGCACACACACACACACGCGCGTGCGCGCACGCACTTGCTTGTACATGCCTCTGGCCTACCTTTTGGAAGAGCAAAATAAATTGGAAGGAGGATTAATCCAGCAATTATGAGGGTCAAATTATACTACATGTTTTACCATGAAATCACTTTCTCTTTCTGAGCCTTACTTTTTCCCTCTGTCAAATGGACTTGAACCAGATGACCCCCAAAGCCACTTCCAGCTTTAATACTCTGTGCTTTAAACAAAAGCCAAGAGTACTTTCCAGAGAAACAGAGGGGAAATGGACTGAGCTCATTTGTGTGCAAGAAGCAAGAGCTGTTTCCTCAGATCTCACCCAATAGAGGAACGATTTTTGTTCTTGTTGTTTTTTAAACGACCTAAGAAATAAAAATCATGAGGTGGAGGAAGAGAGCTTCATAGTTTAAAGCAAACTACAACCTTTTAAAATATAGATGCCATTTAAGTCAAATATAAAAGCATTGACAAACTGTCAGCCAAGGTTGAAAGTGTCTTCTTATCTAGACTTGTCACCTCCTGAGGTCTCTGAGAGGTGACAGAATTTTGCATGTGGATGCCCTGTCTGAGGTGCTAATTGTCTTCATTTCAAATGCCCCAGGCTTTTCTCCAACCCAGGTAGATTAAAAGGGTGATGCCAAGGGTGGTCAGTTTTATAGAGTGGATCTGACATTTCAAAATCTTTTTCTCTAACCTTTCAAAACTAACTTTGTTCTTCAACTAGCTCATCTATAGGTGTGAATTCTCCTGTGACAGTGTTATGATTTGACACCTATGGTGAGTTTACACATTCTCTCTGCACTTACTAAAATTCACTTCCTTCACAAAAATGAGAAAAAGAAAAAAAAATGTCTTGAAAAGAGCACCTCCTTTTGATAATATCTGGGTTTATCTATGAGGCTAATTTTTCTAATGCCCTTTTGTTTTCTAAGCGAGAAGCCAGAGACAGGTTTGTGTGTGCTTAAGGCTACTTTAAATATGTTTACTCTTTCAACCAACATCATGGGCATCTGCTGTATGACAGACACTGTAGCAGGTACTGAGGTTGGAGAGAAGAGCTGTGACTAAGGAAAGGATGGGCTTCTGGGGAAACAGTAGTGGGACATCTAACTCAGCTTATATTCTAAACCTGCACAACCTACTCGAGACAGCAAGTTCTTGATCTTTCTGTCTGCTCTGTATGGTTCCCTGTACTTGTCCTAGTTTTACCTCCTTCATGGCTTAGAGGACACTTCCTAATTCAAGCTGAAACTCTTGCCTGGTACTGAGCTTTTGTTCTTGGAATCATAGCTAAGATTTGCTAACCACATATTACATTCTAAGCATCCCTGCTAAGCATTTTGCATGTATTATCTCGTTTATTTGTATCAACAACCCTATGAATCAAATTATTATTATTATTAATTATTATTACCTCCATTTTACCAATGGGGAAGCCAAAAGTCAGAGAGTCTAGGTAGCCTGCTCAATGCAGCACAACTGGTCAGTGTCCCACTTGGGAATAAATACAGGCTATGACCTCAGAGCCTGTGCGTTTCACCAATATCCTCTTCTGTCTCCCAACCTTAATTCTGAGGTCACTGCACTGAATGGGTCGGGCTTCCATCTCCTATCTAGCAACTACTATAATTTGGACTTCTAGAATATTCTTCATATACTTCTCAAGTGTCAACTCTTCTCATGCCCTGACTTGTAGCATGTCTCTGTCTATCTCTGTGCTTTATGAGATCAGGTACACTGTGTTAGCCTGGGCCCCACTGATTAGCATGTCTTGGAAGCTCTTACAGAGTCAAGGTCTAATCACCCAGGCTTATAGGTCTGGAATCTGAATCATCAGTTTATCCATCTAAAGTAATAGAACACTGAATCACTATATTGTACACCTGAAACTAATATAGCACTGTATGTTAACTTTACTGGAATTAAAATAAAAACTTAAAAAAAAGGTGAAGTAACAGAACACTGTGTGGTCTGGGCGTCTTCTGTCCTGGGTGGGCCTGGATGCACATACAAGGTCTTAT